TGTGTCGTCAATAGGCTTGGTTATATAGTTACAATGGTGCACACACACCAATAGGGTGCAATATTTGTATGCTTATAACCACCTCTGAGCATAGATGGGGTCGCGAGTCTCTGGTGTTGTTATATTAGGGGTCGGTGGCTGAAAAGTTTGAGAACCCCTGGTGTATAGTACCAGTTATATTTGAGTGCATGTGACAAACAACCATATAAGTCCAAAAATAAAAAAAATAAGATGACCATGTGACATTATTGTATGCATGAACTTTGTATACAAAAACATATATTAAAAAGCAAATCGTCAGCAAAAAAGACATGAACAAATAAAAGGACAAAGTAAAGAAGGCTTTAAAGGATGCTGGTAAACCATATTTGAATCAAAAAGGAGACCAAAAACCAGGGAAAAACCCACCAAAAGAGGCAAGCTGAAGAACATATACGGAGTGCTAAACAGCACAAAAACAGTCAATCTATGATAATATACAACCTACAGTGCCATATATAATAAAGCTGTATCAATGCATATTTCCTGCAAGTCCTGTGTAAACTACAGCAATCAGTGCTTGTTTATATATTTATTTATATCGTGAGATGGTGGAGCGCGAGAAGAGTTAAGTAGTATATACACAGGTGCGCTGTGTGTGTGTATATATATATATATATATATATATATATACATATATATATATATATATATATATATATATATATATATATATATATATATATATATATATATATATATATATATATATATATATATATATATATATATATATATATATATATATATATATATATATATATATATATATATATATATATATATATATATATATATATATATATATATATATATATATATATATTTCTAAATAAACAACAATATTAGCTATGATGTGGGTCTGCATTTTATGTACTTATTGTTGTATTTGTTGTTTATTGTTAATAATTGATTGCTATTGCATGTACTGTAAGAAGGTCTATGTATTGCACATTGTTCATACTGTATTTTGTTTTAACTAATAATAATAAACTTGAAAAAAATGCTTAAATGTTAACCAGAAGTTTCTGTTACTGTATTAAAACTAAAACTAAAATAAAGGATCAGATCTTTAATGGTTTAAAGTAATAGGATGAATTGGAGTTATACTGTTATTCCACACTAACTGGACATATACTGTTCATTCATTGATTCATTTTCTTTTCGGCTTAGTCCCTTTAATAATCCGGGGTTGCCACAGCGAAATGAACCAGCAATTTATCCAGCACATGTTTTACGCAGCGGATGCAACCCATCACTGGGAAACACTCATACACTCTCATTCACACAAATACACTACGGACAATTATAGCTTACTCAATTGAACTGGATAACATGTCTTTGAACTGTGGGAGAAGCCAAACCACCCAGAGGAAACCCCCACATGAACGCAGGGAGAACATTTGAGAAATATAAATCACAATAACTTTTTTATTTTAATAATGACACTGAAAAATGCTATCTCCTTAGAATTGAGAAGCTTTTGTTGTCGATCTTCAAGTAAAATAAAAACATATAATATTCACAACCCAAATGGAAAAATTGTGTTACTCAAAATTTGAAAATATGGACTCATATGGTTCTTCATCTCAAGGCCTTATTTAATATAAAAAATACGAAGGACATGAAAAAGAAGGTTAAAGTTTGCTATAGAGACGCTTCTCTTGCTGTTGGTAAGAGCGTACACCTGTATCGAAATGAATGACGGCTGAAGATGTGCAAGTTTATCAGATCAGATCACCCGCAGCCTCAAGCTCAGTGTCTGTGTTCACTACAAGATTGCAAAAAGAATAGCTTTATAATGCGATGCATGCTGAACAATGCAACATACACAAATTCCAGCTGCAACCTGAAAAAAAAAACACGTAGTGGTAAGTGTCAACGTTAAGCCTATTTAAACTAGGGCTGGGCGATATGGGCAAAATATCATATCCCGGTATTTGTAGGAGGAATAATGGTATACGATATATATCTGTTATTTTTCCCATAAATGGTTACTTGAGAGTTAAAGCCTTTATTTAAACATAATGAAATGTTTTTTGAGCAAAATATAATTTAAACATAGGAGTTTCCCTCCCTGTTTACAAATAAACAGCTGCACACAAAAAATAACAGCTGCACAAAATCTTTGATAAATAAAACACAGTACAGGTTTTTCTCCTGCTTAAAACAGTTGTGTATAAAAATGTTTTGCGCACAATTATTTAACAGTGCACTTATAGATATCTAAAGATAAGTCTTAAAAAATCCTACACTTTTTCTTTTGTTTTGACTAAACTTGTTTTACTAAATATTAAACAAGGAGATGAAAACGAATAGACTACAGATATGAGAAGTAAAGAACCAGAGTTTCAGAGTACTGTGATGAAATGCTGGTTAAAGGGCCATGAAACCCCCTCGTTTCAGCAGGGTGTTTTCACACCTCTACTTTGGAAAAAGTCAGAAGAGTGGGCGTGTCCAGCTTTGTTTAGGGGGGAGTGTCGGAGGAACTAAAGTGGGATGGTGTGGGAGTGTCTATTTAGGCACGCGTGAGTTTCAGAGTCAAAATACACAGACAGGAGAAAGTGATGGTGTTTAACCTACAAGGACATCTGTAGTCGAATTATTTACCAAATTATTAAATGTTGGACTTTAACTGCAGTTTGGCTCTTTCATTCAGGGAATTCATTCATGCCCCTCGCGACAAACGAGATATTTGATTCGAGGAACTGCTCTAAGCGTGTATTTTTCATGCAATGTTTGATACCGTACGGCGAATGAGAGAAAAAAAAACCTCAGCATTTCCCGGAAACTTAGATGCACACGGCAGATAGCGTCAGAAAGCCGCGTGTGTTATTCCGGTCACTAAATGCGGTAAAAACCCTACACGAGGTTAAAGTTTGGTTGTGATGCTAACGTGTTTACACTCGGTGACTCGGTGCAATAGTTAACTTAATTCGATACGAACAAACTTAATAAACAAAGAGCGCTGGTCGCTCACTTACCAAATCTGTAGAGACAGGACAATCACCAGTAACTAGAGCCGCGTCTTTATGAAGAGGAGACTACAAGCGAATCCAGATCTCAGCGTTTGGACATGTAAGTTATTGTTGTCGAGCGTCGCGTACACTGTTAATCCACACGTGACGCCAGCTGCGCTCTCACAGAGAGAAAATTAAAACGAAACTTAACGGCAGCAAACTATAAAAGCAACACTTCACGCTTGTTTTGCCAACACAACGTGGCGTCTCTGTCGTGAAAACACTGTGACACTAATGAATATTAATAAAGTTGCACAATAGAGCGCGCTGATTGGTTTGAACCAAGCCTTACTCATGCATTAATGCAGCACACTGTAAGACGTAATAAGACTCACTCTGGCACAGACGCCCAGTCTGCACGCTGGAATACACGATATTATGTCATGGCCGTGACGCAGCTTCAAAAATTCGTTTCAAACCGGAAGTACGAATTTGCTTGAAATAACGCAAAAACAACCAATTTACACTTTTTAGTGAATTATAGGTGTCTTAATAGTGTTTTTAGCAGTGTGGGACACATACAGGACTGTCAACAGCTCAAAAAATGTGTTTTGGTGTTTCGTGACCCTTTAAGCATATGTAAACAGTCATTATAACAGACCAGAACACAGAGCTAAATGTGTTATAATGTAAATGTAAAAAAGAGACCGTCGTCCTCCATGTCGTGTCAGTGATGGGTCGTTCTTGAACGATTCGTTCATTTTGAACAAATCTTTTGTATGACTCATGAAGTGAATCATTCATTTGCGCATGCGCACATTTGTGCAAGTGGAGCTCGCGTGCTACCATGGAGTGGTCTGTTTCGCACAGAATGCGCACATATGGCCTCAAACCATATTGATATGAACGATATTGAATAATACCGCATTGCGTTGGGGAATCATATCGATATATCCAAAGAACCCGATATAACGCCCAGCCCTAATTTGAACACTGATAATAGTAATTAGTTAACTATGGGCAATGTTTTAATTATTGTAATATCAAATTTCACACATGTCCAAGTGTTTTCCCTCATATGCTCTCTCATAAAAGCAGACAAACATCTACAACCCTAAAAAAGACATTTTAGTAACTAGTTACTTGAGTTTTTTTTTTTTTTTATCAGACACTTTTTTACTCTTACTCGAGTAACTTTAAAGATTGTTACTTTTACTTCAGTAAAAATTCTTAAGTACTTGTACTTTTGAGAATAGATTTTGGATACTCTAGCCACCTCTGCCTAATCCCGCTGTTCACTTGTCCATGTTTCTAGGTCACTGCAAACACTACAGTTACAGTAGGAAAAATCTAATCAACAGCTGATTTGAAAATGAGTCACTCGATGAATCGTTCCAACCCTTAAAAGGTTTGATGCTTGCCATCCATTATCCATGACCAAACAACAATAAAGAACCTGTTCATCCACAATCGTTTAAGGTCAATCTTGCTCCACCCCTCCAGTCCCGACTTTCTCCATAAAATTCAAAGATTTACATGTTCACAAGATCCAAGTTGATCTGAGTCAGATGTGACCTCAGGTTCATAAGTAGGACACAAGTGAATTTAAAGGATGAAAAAAAAAAAAATCCATCTGCTTTCATAGCAACATCCGAAATAGAAGAGGACATGATTCTTCTTAAATGGTTCTATTCACAAGTACAGATGACGAAAAATACAAGCCCTTGAGCAAAAAAACAAGACTGACTCAATCTTGAACTGCTCTCTGCTGAAATCGCACCGATGAGAGAGCGGCGTGAATGAACGAGAGGTTAATACTCTTCCGCACTGGGGATTCCATTAGGCCAGAACATGAAAAAAAAAAAAGACTGAAGGGAGTCGTTGTGTGTGTGTGAGACTCCTATGCTCGCACTAATGAAAGTAAGTCGGCTGCTAGAAGAAAAAAAAACGCTGCCAGAATGAAGCATATCCTCAATATCTAAAGATTTTTTCATAGGTTACCTGATGTGTGTCGCGGGCAGAGATTCCAACTGTCTGGAGAGAAAGAGTTCTCTGTGTCTCAGCTGATGCTTCTGCTTCTCTGGGAGATCCACCATCTCAGGGTTCTCCATCTCCTCTTCCATCTCTCCTGGAAAAGTCAAAGTCAAAAGAAAATATTTTTTCAGGATAACCTATTAATACACCTAAAAATAATATCAAAGATGTGAAACTGCTGTTGATTTCTTGGAATAACTGCTAGAGTTGTCTAAAGAACCAGAGCTTTTAGAGCCAAGTCGGTACTTAACGGGACAGTTCACACAAAGAGTATCTAAATATATACAGTTAAAGTCAGAATTCATTCCTGAATTATTAGCAACCCTGTTTATTCCCCAATTTCTGTTTAATAGAGAGAACACATCAACACATTTCTAAACATAATAGTTAGGCAAGTTATTGTATAACGATGGTTTGTTCTGTAGACTATCAGGAAAAAATATAGCTTAAAGGGACTAATAATTGTCACTAAAATTGCTTTTAATAATGAAAAACTGCTTTTATTCTAGCCGAAATAAAACAAATAGGACTTTTTCCTGAAGAAAAAATATAATCAGACATACTGTGAAAATTTCCTTGCTCTGTTAAACATCATTTGTGAAGATTTTAAAAAAGAAGATAAAAATCAAAGGGGCACTAATAATTCTTACTTCAACTGTACAGTATATGTATATTTTTACAGTAGAACATTAAAGAAGATTTGTGGCTAAAACCATAGTCCCTGGTGATTCGTATTTTCTAATCAATGGCTACCAACATTTCGAAAAAGTTTGGGGATATCGCCATCCAAATCCTTGAATTCAGGTATCAACATCAGACTGCTTCTGCAAGCACATGTATAAGAATGGGTCACTCTTAGAAGCTCAGTGAGTTTACAGGCTCTTTTTTGACGGTCCATGCGCAGAGCGCAAAACGCAGGGCGCAAACGCTTTCAGGGCATGTCAGGACGCGTTTTTGCTAATTTAAGGACGGGAAAACCTGCTTTGCGCCATGGCGCATGGTTTAAAAGGGTTGAGTTTATTTTCTTAATGAGTTATAGGTGTGTTTTGAGAATAAACCAATTAGAGTCTTATATCCTAAAACACATGCTGTGCCCCATATGGTCTAAAACCTGACAGGTGGGCAAATCTAAGCTTGTTTTTAATAAAACAAATATACATATAGATATAATAAATAATACTGCTAATAATAATAACATTATACAAAAGCAAATTGTTATGAATGAACTGAAAAAGCCTCCCGAGATGAAGAAGACATAAAAGCAGTGATTTTTCATATTTATGTAGGCTAGAAAATAATATGTTTTGTAATATTTTAATCCTTTATATTTATATCCTATATCTATTCTTATTATATCCTATATATATCCTTAATATTTACATTTTTTCATATGTAAAGATATTTGCCTATTGCCCTCTTGCGTATTAAGCAGTGTGTAAGTGAGGCGCAACTCTGCGCTGGAGTTTAGACCGGGTTAGTTTTGGTCTAATGAAAAATCTATTATAGTTCCTCAAAATAGCAACGCGCCAGCGGTCCGCCTCAGAACGCCTTTCTTTTTAGACCAGAACGCCTATGGGCGCACAAATGAGCGCTAATGCATTTGCTATTTAAACAGCGTAGCGCAACGCTTCAAAATGACTCTTGCGCCAAGCTGAAACTACCAAAAGAACATTGCGCCACGCCTTGCAACACACTGCGCCGGGTGTATGATAGGGCCCTAAGAGTGGTAACATGATAAGTTTCAACCTGTGCAGTAAGTCCACTAGATAAACTTCCTCATCACTAAACACTCCATCGTCATCTGTTAGTGCTATTATAACAAACTGGATCAAACTGGAACCACAGCAACTCAGCCATTAAGTTGTAGGCCATGTAAAACCACAGAGATTGGTCAGTGCATGCTGAGGCGTACAGTGTGCAGAATCTGCCAACTTTCTGCAGAGTCAACAGCTACAGACGTCCAAACTTAATGTGGCCTTCAGATTACTAAATAACAGTGCACAGAGAGCATCATGGAAAGAGTATTCATGGCTGAGCAGCGCCCATCCAAGCCTTTCATCACCAAGTGCAAGGCAAAGTGTGGGATGCAGAAGTGTAAAGCAGGCCACCACCGGACTCTACAGCAGTGGGGATGTGTTCACTGGAATCCCGCAACTGGAAGGACGAGCCTGGATTTGGCAGTTGCAGGGAGAACAGCGCTTTCCAGACTGCAAAGTGTAAAACTTTGATTATTATTATTATTATTACTATTATTATTACTACTACTATTACTATTACTATTATTATTATTATTATTATTGTTATTATTATTAAAGTGTGGTGTTGTTTAACAGGTTTGGGATTGGCCCCTTAATTTCAGTGAAATTAATTCTTAATGCTTAAGCATACCAAGACATTTTGGACAATGTTTGGTGATGTTCCTGTTCCAACATGACTGAACACAGGTGCACAAAGCAAGGTTCATAAAGACATGGATGATCGAGGTGTGTAGAAACTTGACCAGCCTGCACAGAGTCCTGACCTCAACCTGAATGAACACCTTTCATTAAATTAGAGCAGAGACTACGAGTCTGGCCTTCTCATCCAACATTAGTACCTGACCTTACAAATGTCCTCACAAATGGTCAAAAATTCCCATAAGCACACTACTAAACCTTGTGGAAAGCTTTCCCAGTACAGTTGAAGCCGATTTAGCTGTAAAGGGTGGGTCGACTCCATATTAAACCCTACAGATTAGGATGTTATTAAAACTCTTGCCTCAAAACTTTTGGCAATATAATGTATTTACAAGCGAACTGATGCATGCTCCTGAGCTCTTTTAAAGAAAAACCATTTGATTGGTCTGTGGAAACTGTTCTTTTTTAGTTTAGATGCAATAATCTGGTAAATAATGTTCACTTTTTTTGAAGACTTAGAATTTCACTTAATAAAATCTCAATGTTTCATAAGGAGCCACAGTATTCATTTTTGTTTTGAATGTATCTGTAGTCTTTCTAACTTCCGAACTTGCTGGTAGCGGTTCAGTGCATTGTATTAGTTTAGTTTTTAAAGAAAAACAGTAACCTACATCTTGAATGGCCAGCAGTTAAGTAAATTCATAATAAATTTACATTTTATTTTCAATGTATCTTTTTAATTAAATTATTGCTGTTTTACATTTTAATCACTCCATATTTAAAAAAAAAATACTGCAAGCAATCAAAAACTGCTCACAATTCTAAGTAGAATAATAGGTTTTACATTATCCACAAAATATGTATGAATATATCCCCAAGAAAAAACCTTCAGAATACAGATTTGAATGAAACGGTGTAGTTTGGTGTACGTAAGAGCTGCTGTAGAAGTGATTCATGCCTCAGTGCAGAAGAAAAATCTCATTTCCAGAAAATTGCCTTTAAAATGGCGATGAAAGAAATGAATTTTGAAGTTTTTCATCGATATGCATCTATATATGCGTGTATAACACATGCTCACTAATTAATTTCTTTTTAACATCAGCTTAAAGTGACATTGTGTATATTAGTCGACCTGAATACATATCTGCAGACTGTAATTCTACAACATTTCAAAAAGCCCTATAAAGACTCTGATCACTGTATCAATCCATCTTCGCAAGACTTCAAAGTTCAAAGTGAAGTGCATATGAGTTTGTGATGGCTATTCACCCAAGTGCTAAAACTACACCTTTTTTAACAGCGCCTGATCAAACGTACTGTGCGCAAACATGAAAATGAGCGCGAACGACAAAAAGAGAGCACGACAGCATGGACCACTTCTTTTAATTTAGTTTACGCAAACACATTATCACCCTTCTCTCAAAAGGATTACCAGGGAGGTACAGAGAAAGCAAGCAAACGTCTCTCTTGACAAACCCCACATATATGTGCTGTATGGAGGCAGAGTGCGGCGGAGAATGATAAGTGGGAGAGAGTCAGAAAGGGAGGGAGAGAAACCATCGAGCGTGCTCCAATTCATTTGGAGTTTCATTAGCAAGAGAGAGAGAGAGAGATAGAGACAGATGGAGAAACACAGAGATGCAGGGAAAAGGCAGCAGAACAAAAAGAATCTAGGGATTTCCAATGGGGGGGGAGAAAAAAAAGAATGATGTTTGTCTGAAATCAATATGTATTCCCTCCTCTGGCATTGAGCGTACACAAATGCCGCTGCTCACATGCTATCCGGTTCACATGCTATCTTGCAATGTGAAACTACGCTGAACACGAGTGAATGGTCACTTTACTAGTGCTGCACATCAGTAACCGTTGTGTTACAGCTGCGCACGGAGTATCGACAACCCCTGCTGGGATGCACATGGAGCGGGGGATAGAGACTGAAACAAAGAGAGTGAATGGGATAAGATGACGAGAAAAAAAGAGAGAGAGAGGGTAAGAGAGGAAGAGCCCTGTGGCTACGAGCAGCCTGCCGCGTCCTTGAGAGCCGGAGAGAAGAGAAGAAGCTGAACTCGGTAAACTCCAAGTGTAGTTCTGAGGGGGGAGAAAAAGAGCGAAAGAAGCCAATCATCTGGCCCTGCACCCTGCCTGTACTCAACAAATTACCTCTCCATTTCACCCGTCTTAACCAATTATCAATTATTGATGAATGAATCGCCTTACCAGGTGGAGGAGAGCCGAGGGGTGAAGGGTGGTGAGGGTTGCGAATCACAAAACACTTTTTGGTCACGATGATTTAAAGCGTAGCTATGGCTGTTTTTGGCTTAATTGGCAGCTCTTGATTGTCTAGGTTAAAACTGTGGCTGTGAAATATATCTTGATAATCACAAAAATGCATTAAACCACTTAATTTATAACTAAATAATACAAAATTTGATACAAAATCTCTCTGTAGTTATGTGCCAACTAGGCCTGCCCAATATATAAAGAGTTCAGATATAAAAACCTCTAAATGTCATCTGAAATTTACTTCTAAAATGAGCATTTCTTTCAGGCTCTTATGTCTAGGTTCAGTAATTTTGATTGTATGGTAATAGATTACATTATAACATTACATACATTACTGTTTTTAATCACCGGCCACTGTGGCTAGTAGTTTTCCAATGTTACTAGCCACTTTGCATTTTGACTAGCTACAATTTTG